TTGCTAAACCATTGAATGAGGAATAATTTGATTTTATTAGAAGATAATTAGGCTCGTTGAATCCTTCAAATGCATGAATTCTTCTCATATTGATCATTATCTTGATTTCTCGCTGTTTATGTATTCACGACTTGAGATTTATTTCATATGACTCCTTTGTATTCATGACTTATATACCTCATCATAACTTATATATCTTTCATGTTATGATTGGAACATTGATGTAAATGAAGAGAAAGAGCACCATGAATCCATGATATCCTTCTCTTCTTTTTTGTGATGACAAAAGGGAAGAGAGAAGTAGTAGCTTGCACATTTCAAAGAGAAGTAAAAACTTACACATTTCTTTTTTTTGTTGATGACAAAGAGGGAGAAGTCGATTGTGTTCTTTGATGACATGAAAAAAATTTATGATGTTAGCTTATGATGATGATGTTTTTATTTTATAAAATGACTATTTTGACATGTTAACAAAAATGATAGCAAGCCACTATGAATTATGATTGTTTGGACTTGAATTCAAACTCTAACATTAAAAGGTTATCATTCTTTTTATGAATTTGAGTTTGATATATTTCAAAATAATAAATAGACAGGGGGAGGCTAGTTAATGCTCAATCATCAATTGTTTGCCATCATAAAAAAAGGAGAGATTGTTGAATCCCGAATTTTGATAATGAAACCAATTAATAAGTTTATGGATTAATAACCATTTAAGATAAGTGACGTAGGAGAAACTTCGATCACTGAAAGACAAATCGTTGAAGTAGGAGAATCAAACGTTGGGCCGAAGAGTATCAAATCAAAGTTCGGGCATCACGCCAGAAGGATCGGGCATTACACTAAGAAGATCATATGTTGTAGGAGGTCAACATACCGATGGATCGGGTAATACATCAAAGGAAAGGACGATGTGCTGGATGAACAGTTGATGTGCTAGCCAATGTAGATTTCACGATTGTAATTGTTATATCTTGATCGAAGTCATTTAAGTGTCTAATTGAGTTAGTTTTGGAGTGTAACCATGTCAACTTGATTAGGAGACCATTGGGCTTGAACCAGGGCTACCTAGACCTATTGAAAGGCCAATTCAGTAACCTGGAGTTGGGTTCGATGGTAGCATCGCCCAAGTAGGTGGTGGTACCACTAGAGCCCAAGT